AAGAACGTTTGTGTGCATTTGTGACGTGTAGGTGGGACGAATGTGACCTGGACGTTCAGACTGAAGTCACATGTCAAAAGATCGGAGAAAAGATCGGCTTTGGGTCACTTCAGGCTGCAGTCCAGATTTTGTCTAGGTTTAGTCCAGATTTTGTCCAGGTTTCGTCCAGGTTCAGTTAAGGGTTAGTCCAGGTTTAGCCCGTCTTTATTCAAGATTTAGTCTGGATATTCTTTAGGTTCAGTCTAGATTTAGTCCAGGTTTAGTCCAGATTTAGTCCAGGTTTAGACCAGATTTATTTCAGATGTAATCCTGGTTTTGCTCATTTTTAATCCAGGTTTAGTCCAGATTTTGCCCAGATTTTGCCCAGATTTAGTCCATGTTTAGTTCATCTTTTGTCCAGGTTTAGCTCAGGTTTAGTCCAGATTTCGTGCAGCTTTAGTCCAGATTTAGTACAGGTTTAGTCCAGATTTAGTCCATACTGTATTTTGTCAAGGTTCAGTCCCGGTTTAGTCCAGGTTCAGTCCAGGTTTAATCCAGATTTAGTCCAGATTTTGTCCACATTTATTCCAGATTTCATCCAGATTTTGTTTCATATTCAGTCTAGATTTAGTCCAGGTTTTGGCTAAATTTAGTCCAGATTTCATCTAGGTTTAGTCCAGATTTAGTCCAGTTTTTCTCAAGGTTTAGTTCATTTTTAGTCCAGGTTTTGTCTAAGTTTAGTCCAGGTTTCATCCAGGTTTAGTCCAAATTTTGTCTAGGTTTAATCCATCTTTATTACAGGTTTAGTCCAGATTTAGTCCAGGTTTAGACCAAATTTAGTCCAGATTTCGTGCAGCTTTAGTCCAGATTTAGTACAGGTTTAGTCCAGATTTAGTCCATATTTTGTCGAGGTTTAGTTCAGGTTCAGTCCAGGTTTATCCACGTTTAGTCCATCTTTAGTTCATCTTTAGTCCAGGTTTAGACCAGATTTAGTCCTGGTTTAGTCCAGATTAAGTCCAGGTTTTAGGCCTAGTTTAGTTTCTATTCTGTTGTGTTGTTTTCCAAGTCTGACTGCACTTTAAGTAGGCCACTTAGACGGCTCTGTTTGCCAGGCAGGTGAGCCCATCTGCCCCCTCTTTCCCCGTCTCTCCGTTTCTCCTTGTCCTCCTGCGTGCCAGCTATGTCCGATCCCGCCTCGGCGTTCCAACAGATCAGACGAGGAGGTAAAACGTTCCCTCTCCCTCTCTCGGGGCTGAGGAGGGCCGCTCCGCTCCTCCTTTCGTCTGCTTCCCTCGCTTTCTCCGGCTCGTTTTGTTTGGGTTCCACGCGCCTCTCTTCCTCCTCTCCTCCTCCTCTCCTCCTCTTCTCTTCTGCTGTCCTGCCTTTCTTCGCTCTCCATGCGCTCCCTCTCGTCTCCCCAAACGTTCCTCGCGTTCCTTTCTTTCCGCTCCATCCCTCTTCTTGGACAAAGGCGGCGCGCTCTCTCTTTCTCTCGCTCCAGATTGGATTGTGTCTTCTTGTGGTACCTGTGCCGGCACATCCAAGGGGCTTATCGGAGTGGGCAGCCCGGGGAGCGTTCACAAGGCTGGGCTCACATCACACGCTCCGCCAGGCAGGAGAGAGCTGGAGATAAGCGCCTATCGAAACTCAACACCAAATACACTTATTTTACCACTAAACTCTATACATGCCGGTTTAATAGCATTGTCTACTCTTCCAAACTAGAGACATGTACGTACACTTACTGCTGCCTCTGCTGTCATTTCATGTACTATGTGACATCACGCAGGACTGTGATGACTTCTGACTTCAGCTGTGATACGTGGATATGATAACAGCTTCCTCCCATAAGCTATTAGGATGCTGAACGGTTGATCCAGAATCTCTCATATACACTCCTGCACCTCATGTACGTTATTGTTTTAGACTAGCTTTCGTCACTTTAACTAACACTTTACACACAGACAGCTGTCATGGTCACTTGAAACTGCAGCTGCAATAAGTCTTCTAACTGGATAGTCTCAGGGATGTGTGAATGGATGTGCGGGAAGGGTGTGTGTGCTGGGAGTGTGTTTTAAATTATGTTCTTTAAACTGATACAGAGAAATGTAATTTCATCTTGTCTGCACTACAGTTGTATGTACAGCAATATGACAATAAAGACTCATTTAATTTGATTTGGTGATTTGGTGAGTGTGGACACTGCTCCTTCTCCTCCTCACTGTCTCCTTTAGTCCTCCAGACCCAGCAGTCTAAAGCCCATTTTATGGTCATGCGTCAAATCATCTGCGTCAACTGTGAACCCCGAATCTGCGTCCACTGACGTGCACCTCAGAAATGTTCTATGTGTCGAACGGACACAGACAACAGAGGAAGTGACACAGACGATAAGGGCTGTAATTGCTCCTCTCTACATCCACTCTACATCCATTTCTGGTACTCATACATAGACCTCGATGCAGATCCATAAATCAAAAATGACGGCGACAAGCGCAAGATGTGCTTTGAGTGGATGTAGAACTATAATTCGGCCTTAAGCAGGGACTCCCAGACTCTTCTCCAGGGGGACCCCAAGGCGTTCCCAGGCCAATTGAGAGACACAGTCCCTCCAGTGTGTCCTGGGTCTTCTCCGGAGTCTCCTCCTGATGGGACATGAACACCTCTCCTGAGAGGAGTCCAGGAGGCATCAGAACAGATGCACGAGCCTCAGCTGCTCCTCTCCACATGGAGGAGAGGGTCTACTCCGAGCTCCTTCTATGTGACTGAGATCCTCACCCTATCTAAAGGACTGGCCAGCTTGTATCAGCCATCTTACCCTTTCGGTCATCACCGACCAGTGCTCATGACCACAGGTGAGAGAAGGACCTGAAATCAAACCAGGACTGAGCCAGGATGAATCCAGGGACCATAGGTGAAGGTAAGAACATAGACTGACAGATACATTGAGAGCTTTGCCTCTGGACTCAGCTCCCAAGGACCTAATGCAGACAGTTTGATTTTAAAACTTCAAGATTACATAGAATACATAGGCCTACTGTTATTGTGTTGTTGAGCAATACACTTCACCCACTGAGTATGAATGTGGTTTGTGAGTGATTGTTGACAGTTACCATTGTAAGTTTTAAGACCCAAGTTGAGTCCTGAGGTATAATTTATTTTGGCCCTGTTTTAATCTTGGTTTAGACCAGATTTATCCAGGTTTAGTCCAGGTTTAGTCCAGGTTCGGTCCTGATTTTGTCCAGGTTTAGTCCAGGTTCGGTCCTGATTTTGTCCAGGTTTAGTCCAGGTCATCCTTTAGTCCAGGCTTAGTCCATCTTTAGACCAGGTTTAGCCCTGATTTATTTATTCCAGATTTATTCCAGATTTTCTTCCAGTTCAATCTAGATTTAGTTTAGGTTTTGCTCAAAATTTTATTCAGATTTTGTCCAGGTTCAGTCTAGATTCAGTCCAGATTTGTCAAAATTTAATCCATATTTAGTCCGAGTTTGATCGAGGTTTAGTCCAGATTTAGTCCAGTCCAGGTTTTGTCCATCTTTAATCCAGATTTAGTCTTGGTTTAATCCAGATTAAGTCCACATTTTGTCCAATTTTAGCACCAGTTTAGTCCCTCTTCTGGTGTGTTGTGTTCTGTTGTGTATGAATGCACTTTAAATAGGCCACTTAGACAGAAATTTTAAAATGAAGGAAAGAATAATCAGCTAAAAGAAAATTCTGAGATCTGAAAATTCTGAGATTCTAATGTTGTAATGTCACATGAACACAGCCTGTGCTCCTTATTAACCTAACTTAACCTATTCCTTTTCGTTCTTCCCCTTTTCCTCCTCCTCCTCCTCCTCCTTTCCTCTCCGCTCTCATCCCCCTCTCCTTCCTCTCCTCCTCCTCTTCATCAGAGCCTGTTGATCGGTGGTGGCCCTCCAGGCGTGGAGCTGACCTTTCAGATGAGCTGCTCGTTCTTCAAGACTTCAAGAGGATTCATGATTGATGTCTAATCTTTGATATCCTCTGAAGATGCCCGTATATGTGTGTGTGCATGCCTGCGTGTGTGTGTGTGTGTATATGTGTGTGTGTATGTGTGTGTGTAGACCTCCCAGCGCTAAGGAGCCAAAGGTCCTGGGGGTATCAGAGACGAGGGGGGCATGTGCAGGGTGGTCTATGGTGCCTCTTGCAGAGTTCAGTGGTACGACCTGTGGTGAGAGGGCGTTTGAACTGACACACTGATACACACACACACACACAAACACACACACACACTTAAGCTCTCGTTCTGCTAATAACTCCTTAAAGCTGATCAACCATGTTCTAACGTCTCCTAGTCCTGTCTCGAAAACACATTTTGAGATACGACGATAAGTGATATTATTGATAATATACATTAAAGGTGCATTGTGTAACTTTTCTGGTGGAGGGTGCGTCACCTGTCATTGCTCTGCCTGGAATGTTCCACAGTATGACACATAAACAGATTCTACCTTACATTTATTCAATTACAGGTGGTTTTATAGCTCAAAAACAGGCATCTGACTGTGATCAAGGTCGCTTTTCCACAGATCTGACCTGTAACTTGGTCTGATTTGGTCTCCATGAAGATAGAAAAGTTTAATACCATACTATTACAGATAAAGAAATAACACTCTTCATGGAGAGAAGCATTTGACAGACCCTCAAGAAAAGCTGTACCTTTAAGGAGGGGTAGTAAAGTTCCTTCAAATTATTTTTATTCAAGTACAAGTATCCATTTTAAAGCTGCTAATCCATATTATATTACATATGTTGAAGTACTGTGATAGATGATATTACTTATGAGCCAGGTTCTCTGGGATCCAGAACACTCTTCTCCAGTCCTTTACACCAGGTTCTCTGACCTTTTCCCACTGGTGAACTACCTTTACAAAACCAAAACAACAGAGAGCTGCTCATGTAAAAGATCACAAGAAATAGAGTAAATATAAGAGCCTTAGACGAGATACAGTTAATGTGTAAGTGTATGTAAATATGTGTTTTAGATGAACTGGAATACAACAGTGAAATATGATTTTACTGCAATAAAATATCACAAATAATGAATGTATATTTGTAATGAGGAAATGGAGATTTTGGACCCAGAAAGACCAAATGATTGGACTGTTTCAGCTGATGGGATCCAAATAAACAGATCTATGCCTATGACACATAAACCATTATCCAGATATCAGTGCACAAAGTTAGGCAAATCACAACCCTTATTGTCTGCGTCGCTTTAATGCGTAGTTACAAAATTTCGGAGGTGCATGTTGGTCGACGCAGATGCTCTGAAGAGGGGGCTCAAGGTGACGCAGACTCTCTGGATCATGACGCAGATGACTTGACGCAAGCATAAACTGAGCTTTAACTAACCTGCTCAGTTAGTGCATTTCTGGGAGTGGCAACTCTCACATCTTTGCTGCATTGGGGACATTTAGGCTACGTTCAGACTGCAGGGCTTAATGCTCAATTCCAATTTTTTTGTGAAATCCGATGTTTTTGCGAGGTCGTTCACATTTCCAATTAAATGCAACTTGTATGTGACTCCAGTGTGAACAGTAAACGGCCCGAAAGTGTCCCACATGTGACACTGGAGACACGACGACGTCAACCACAGCGAGCGTCTCTGTGTTTACAGAAGTTGTCCAAACATGGACGCGAGCATTGAGCACCTGGAGATTTTAAAGTTCCTCTCGTACCGGAGCCAGAACATGAACAACTTACTTGTTTTAAGGAGGAGACTGAGAAGGAGAAGGACGAGGTTTTTGGCCGTGGTGTTTTGTGGGACAGTCTGTTGAAAGGAACGTGTGGATGTGGAGACGGAGCCAAGAGTGGTGAGTGGTGATGTGCTTCGCTTCAGTGACACGGAGTATAGAATAGTGACGTTTGTGGCTTGTTGATAACGTGTAGGTGGATGAATGCACTTTGGCCGTTCAGACTGAAGTCGCATGTCAAAAGATCAGATATGTATCAGTTTCAGGAGCACATATCCAAGTGTCCTGGGTCACATTTGAAAAAATCGGATCTGTGTCGTTCGGACTGTCATTAAAAGATCAGATACAGGTCACATA